CCCTTTCTCTGGTTATCCTTTGCTGACTGCTGACTCCTGGCAAAGTCCAGAACAATCACCTCGCTCTGAGTGCATCACCCCGCTCCCGCCCACAGTCGAGGGCTCCAGTGAGCACTTGGATCAGGCCAGGGCCCCCACGCGTTGGAAACGGGGTAATCCAAGAACAGTAATCCGAGCCTGGGCCTGTCCTGTTCTTGGCGCCTTTCCCCTTTCTTTCCAGGGAGTCAGATGCAGGCCCAGGGCAGGCCGCTGCTCGCTGGAGTTGGGTCCTGCTCTCCGCGCCTCATGTCTCATCTGGAGTCTCATCTGTCTCAGTACTTAACACTGTGCCTGCGTTTGTTCCCTACTCAACTGTAGCCCTACACCTTCTCCTTGGGTGACCTCATCTCCCCCTCTCTTGATTGTGTGTGTGTGTGTGTGTGTGCGCGTGCGCGTGTGCTGTAGATCAAGGCCAGGGAAACATTATCACTAAACTACTTCCCCAGCCCTTTTTATTTATTTATTTATTTATTTTGGCTTTTTGAGACAGAGTCTCGCTATGCAGTTCAGGCTGGCCTTGAGCTGACTTTGTAGCCCAGGCTGGTCTCGAACTCACAGAGCTCCTCCTGCCTCAGCCTCCCCAGTGCTGGGATTACAGGAGTGCGCCACCACACCCAACCTCCCCAGCCCTTTTTACTTTTTATTTTGCTAAATTACTCAAGCTGTCCTTACACTTGCAATCCTTCTACGTCATCCTCATGAATATGTAGGATTACAGATGTGCAATACCCCACTGAGATGTCTTGAGATTTATATCCATATACCTACAAAACATTTGCTTCTGGTTGTCCCATAAATACTTTTTTTTTTTTTTTTGTCTTTTTGAGACAGGGTCTAGCAGTGCAGTTCAGGCTGGCCTTGAGCTCACTTTGTAGCCCAGGCTGGTCTCGAACTCTGAACAATCCTCCTGCCTCAGCCTCCCGCCCATAAATACTTCAAACTCACCCTATGAAAAACTTAATAATTATCTTCCTCCCATCCCAACATGCTTCTCCTGTTGCATCCTTATTGTCAGAAACCTACTGAGTCAGGTTTGATGTCTTCCTCATCCCCTTGCTCCCCTCTAAGCAGTCCTCTGTCCCTTCATACTCAAGATGCCACTAATCCATCTCTTAGATAAATAAGCCCACACCGTTTCACCGAGAAGTCTGCTGGCCTCTGAGCCTGTTCCCCTCCCTAATCTCATCCTTCCCATTCATTCTTCTTTTTTTTTGTTTGGTACTGGGAATCAAACTCAGGACCTTGTGCTTGGCAGGCAGGCGCTTGAGCCTGAGCTAAATCCCCAGGCCTTTTTTTGTCTTTTTGAGACAGAGTCTTGCTATGCAGTTCAGGCTGGCCTTGAGTTCCCTTTGTAGTCCAGGCTGGCTTCCAACTCTCAATGATCCTCCTGCCTCCGTCTCCTCAGTGCTGGGATTCCAGGTGTGCGCCATCACGCCCAGCATTCAATTTTGTTTTAGAATCCAGTGTTTTTCTAAGTGGTTCCCCCTACTTCCAATGTGCTACCCCCTTTTGTCTAGCAAGCAATTCTGTCACTTCCTAACCAGGACACATGCATTTGTTAAGGGCTAATTACTTGTTAGCAACGAGCCAAGTAAATCATCTTAACGAAGAAGCTAAATTTCTTAGCTAAATGGGCAACTCTACAAAAGTGAAATAGTACAAGAGATGATAGGGATTCCCAAATGGGAAATAAAAAGGCATATGCTGGGCATGGTGACGCATGCCTGTAATCCCAGTACTCAGGAGGCTGAGGCAGGAGGATTGTTGCAAATTCGAGACCAGTCTGGGCTACAAAGTGAGCCTGAACTGCATAGCTAGACCCTGTCTCAAAAAGACAAAAAAAAAAAAGGTGTATATAAGTGGCAACGTGTGGGGTGTGTAGTGATGTATCAGCCCACATGCCAGGATGAACAGAGGGAGAAATCCTTCAGAAACACAATCCGGGAATTTTTCTGTTGCTACTACCAAAATGCAAAATACTGACAGAGCAAGAGTTTTCTGAAGGCAGTGTTTCCTCCCAGTACTTCACTGCTAGGCTTAAAAGGGAACAAACCAACAGGGCATGGTGGCATATACCTGTAATCCCACCATTCTGGAAAGCTGAGGCAGGAGGGTTGCAAGTTCAAACCCAGCCTGGACAATTTAATGATTTGGGATCCTTGTCTCAAAATAAACATTAAAAAAGGGACAGAGATATAGGCCTTGTAGTTAATTCCCAGCACGGGGGGGGGGGCACTAATCTCTCACTTTTCACATTTATGTGGCTGAACAGGCCGGGCCAGAGTGACACCTGGTGGACAGAAAGAGCTGCTGCACTCCAAAGATGACACACAGCCCCTCTCCCTTTACACTCAAGCAGTATTCATTCCCTTCTACAGGTGCTAAGGAGAACATGGAGGCCCTGGGGGTACACAGAACAAAAGATTTAACCCCCATTCTTAAGAACCCCAAACTTAGTGGCCAAGAGGCTGCCTGTTTACAATTTCCCTGGACAGCACTGAGGAAAGTGGGAGACCAGCTAGAAAGCCTATTCAGAGCTAGGCACCATGGAGCATGCCTGTAATCCCAGCACTGGGGAGGCTGAGGCAGGAGGATCGTTGCAAGTTTGAGGGCAGCCTGGGCTACAAAGTGAGCTCAAGAACAGCCTGAACTGCATAGCCAGACCCTGTCTCAAAAAGACAAAAAAAAAAAAGGCCAGTCTGAACTGCATATTGAGACCCTGTCTCAAACTGTCCCCTTCAAATTTACGACTCATTTATATGCTACATGCAGAAATATATGCTAGTGCTGAAGTAAAGAGAGTGAATCGACCAAACCCGCCTTATCACATCCTACAAGAGTTGCTAGGCTTGTGGAAGGTACTGAAGATACTAAAAGAAATATTATGGTGACAATTCATATAGCTCTATGGAACTTCTTGATGAATTTGTTTATTTATTTATTTAGCCCTTTTTTTTTT